ATTGGATTCATGAGTATTCATTATATCTAGCAAAACCAAATTGACCCATGACCCGCCCTTATAAACGGGTATGGATTAGGTTTTTATAACCCGTAACTCATGTAAAACCCGATTAATTAATTGATCCATTCAAGTCACGAGTTAACCTGTCACATTAACAAATCTTATAATTTATAAGGTGCATATAAACTCGGAGGAAAAAAATATATTTTTTTATGTTAATTGCACAAGAAGAGATAATCTTTTCATATCTTTTATTTTATTTTACTTGCATATTATGCAATTCGAATTCAATACCTTTCACCTTTAATGAAGAGAGATTACTATGGAATTAGTTAGGTTATTTACAAAAAAAAAAATGTTTTTATTCATATAAATAGAAAGATCTTAAGTATTCTTAGGAAATTGTAATTAACGCTCTGTTATAATATAGCCTTTCTCAATCATCTGTTGCGTGTGAATTTGAAAGGAGAAAAAATACCTCTCTAATCCATCATTTTCTTGTGTGGTTAGGCACGAGCATTAGTAACCATCCCAACAGCATTTAGGTGTTGTTTTGCTCAACTTCTAAAGTACTTTCATTTTAAAAAAATTTAAGGCCTTGTAATTTGGAAATTTAATTAAGTTAAAAAGGAGCAAGAGTGATCCTGAATGATTCTTTCCGGGACCATAGCTTGTTGTATAAAGGAAACAAACAAAGAAGAATCCGAGATCAAGCCAACTTGTCGAGTTTCACGGCTTTCCAATTTCTATTTTTGGAGAAACCTTGACGCGACCTAAATTTAAGTTTAATTAGATGTAATTTGTTAATAGGTAAATAACAATTTTTTTATACAATTTTTTTTAATAGGTAAATAAAAATTACATTCATAGTATAAATTTTATATACTTACAACTCATAGAAAATAATTTTCGTAGAAGGAAAATTGAATCACACAAATATTCATATCCCAACTTCACTTGAAATCATCATTATGAGATTTTTAATTTATTAACCTCAATCATTATGTAATTTTTAAAAATATCAACTTTAAAAACTAAGAACCATTTGAGAATATAGACTTACTTTTCTAATATTCCTGAGAAATATCTTTAGATTGAAATCATAGACCAGCAATAAACACAACTTGAGCAAGTACGGAGTATGAACAAGAAATTAACGGGGGCCAAAAAAAATTTTTTTTCCTATCATATACAAATATAATATGAATTACAATATTTATAACATATGACATAAAATTTAATAATATTAACCTATAAAATATTTTACAAAGATTTATTGTTAAATAATAGTCTATGATAAAATTTTAATTTTTGACTCTATTCTATATGTACTTAAATATTCATATATGATAATTGACAAAAATATGAATTTGTTAGAACTCAAGTTAATTGTTTTGTTAAATTAACTAATAATAAAAAAAAATTAATCTAAATATTCCAAGCAAAATTGTATATAGTGTAAATCATGCATTAATTTTTGAAGCACTAACAAGATATGGGTAATGTTGTCAAAAATAGAAAAATGTAATACTCAATCAAAATTTGGTTTGTTATTCTTCACATTAATTAAGGATAGTTGGATTTATATCAGAGATATGATTATTAAAAGTTAAAATTTGCAAAACAAATACCGCAATTTCAAAAACATGTAAATATAAATTTTGTAGAATATATGTAAATTTAATTTTTTTTTCTCTGAAAACTTTAGAAAAGGCAAAACCAAATTAATAAATTCTTGGACTTTATAGACCAATTAAAGCAAGAGAAAAAAATGTAAATGAAAGAAAAATAATATACAATCTAAAGAAATTAATTAAAAGGACAAATGAAAATTAAGAAAAATTATAATATTTTTTTTCAAAATCTTAGGGGGGCCATGACCCCAGCTCTAATTATCCTCTGCCCTTGTCGATAGGATAAAGATCTTTATTGAAAATTTAAAGAACACGAGAAGACAAGAACCCCAAAAATTCAAAGTGATAAAATACATCTAAGAGGATATTAGGAAGCCTACCACCCAAAAATGAGAAGAAATTAAGATAGACTAAAGTTTTTAAATTAATGGGAAATAGCTAGGGTATAAAGAAAAAGATCTTAAATTTAATTTTTAAACTAAACTTCTCTTGTTTAGTGATAATGCAGTTTTACACACCCATTGCTAACCTGATTTTATACTGGCAATTCAAAAATACTTCAATCATATGCAGCCACTACCACCACCACAACATCCGCCACCACGGCCACCACCATGATGACCACCACCACCGTGGCCGTCAGCATTATTACCACCGTCGCCAGATCCAACAGCAAAGCGACTCCAAAAACAACCTTGGGATGCATCTCTACTCCCCCGCTGTAAATTCCTCTAATTCTCTTTCTTTTTCTTTTTTCTCTTCAGCATTCTCTTGATTTCCTCCATAGGTACATGCGAAAAGAGTCATTAATATGATTGAAAATGCAACAAAAACAAGTAGACAGAACACCAAAAGGCCTCCACGAGACCAAGTAGGACGAGCAAAATCCTCCTCTCCCAGACCTCGGTAGTGAAGGGTTAGGGTTCGCGCCATGAACTTCACCAAAGCTTGCTTTTCTTTTCACCGCCACAGAAAGGCTGAATGCGGAAGGTATATATATACTCCTAAATCTAATCCACAAGTTTCGTGTGTTTGAAGCCGCGTGATGATTTTGTTCATTTCAGCCCACAAGTTTTAGTTATCGTGCAGTCTGGTCCCTACATTTTCTCATTTTTTGATTCAGTCTATGTCAATCCAAAATTTTTGGAGTCTGGAATCTAAACTGACCTCTTTTGTTATTTTATGTAATTATTCTCGACTTACTTTCATATATATATATACACACACACACATATATTGGTTGTTTTCCTTAATTTCATTAAAATTTGAAATCTTAAAAATTTTATATGAAATAAAAACAGTCTAAAGTTGATAAATTATCAAAATTATTATGTGGATCAATCAAAGTGAAGTATCTATATAAGATAAGGTGTATAGAGTTGTAGCAATTATTTTTCTTATTCCAAGATCGATCAATTGGAAGTTTATAATGGCTAAAAACCTATATTTAGCCTTTTATCTTAATAAATTTTCAGGTTTTAACCCCTCATCTTATACTATAACACTTTTAGTCGTTTAGCTTAATAAGTTTGGAGGTTTTAACCTCTTACCTTATATTATGACATTTTTAGCCTCTTACTTTATATTATGACATTTTTAGCCCCTTACCTTAATAAGTTTGGAGGTTTTAGCCCTTCACCTTATACTATAACACTTTTAGCCCTTCACCTATATGAATTGAAGAAAATAATCCTCATTAATGAAAATAATCCTCATTAATATCCAATTATAACATTCTGTTAGTTTTATTAGTTGACTGTTAACTCTATTAGTTGACTGTTAACTCTATTAGTTGACTGTTAACTCTATTAGTTGACTGTTAGCTCTGTTAGTTGACTGTTAACATTCTATTATAGAAAATATGAAATTTAAATTCAATTTTGTTTATTAGTTTCGTTAATAGAATGCTAACGGAACGTTCACAGTCAGTTAACAAAACTAATAGAACGTTATAATCTGACTTTAAGTAAGGGTTATTTTCTTCAATTCGTATAGGTAAGGGGTTAAAAGTGTCATTGTATAAGACGAGGAGCTAAAACCTATAAACTTATTAAGATAAAAGGCTAAAAGTGTTATAATATAAGGTGATGGGTTAAAACCTATAAATTTATTAAGGTAAAAAGCTAAAAGTAGGTTTTAACCTTTATAATGTGTGAATTCTTGCAGAACATAACAAATCAAAAGTCAAAACACTAACATTTTCAATGGATACAGATTTCTTACTTAGCATGAAGTACGAAAGAATGCATACAAGTTTATACATCTTATTGAATGTATATAATTAATCATATAATTACTCCAAGGTTTTGTCTAATTTTTATTCTAATAATGTAATTAATGTAATTTTTTATAATTAATTTATTTGAAAAATTACAAAATTTGACTTTTATTTTAACACCATTACCATGTGAATAGTTTTAATTAGTCAATTAATTAAATTAAAATCAATATTTATAATTTTTAAATAAATTAATCATAAAAAGTATAATAAATACACTTTTAATCTATAACCTTAGGTATATGATAGAAAAAACCTTATCATAACATAAAATTATGCAATTTTTTTATAATATAAGATTTATCATGATTTTTTAGATGAAAAAGATAATTATTTTTAATAAATATAAATAAATCTTAATTATTAAAAATAGAAAGATAAATGGTTGAAATTTTATGTAAGTTAATTTGGTGCATAATACTTGTGTGAAAGTAAATTTCTACTATATATATAATATATATAAGAAAAAATATAGTGCAATCTAAATTATATTAAACTGCATAACACTAATCATTGGATGAACATGAGCCCCTTGATATTAAAAGTTATTCTTCTTATATAATAGTTCTTATTTTACAGTCTAGTATAATTTAAATTGTAAAACATGGTACCCATATATGTATGAGGAGTGTTTTGACAAATTCTTCCATACAATAAGATGTCACATTAGTAGCATAGTAACTCTATCTATTAAAACAGTGACATGTCAATGTATATGGTTCCCACTTTTAATTAAATAATTAATGAATTGTAATAAATTAATCTTTAAAGATTATTGTATATAAGTTGACATATTGCTATATTAGTTAAGAGACCTCAATATCAAGAGTTCTGCTTTAATCCAATACTTTATTCTTTATAAGAAAATTTTATGTAAAGAACATAGATCAACTAATAAGAGTTTAGCTAAGTTGAAATTTATTAATATAACAATCTTAATTTGAAATTAATATCAAAAATTAAAATTTTTGTGTTATCAAACAATTACCCTCCAATATATATATAAAGGTTAAATGCTAATTTTAATCCCTCAACTTTAGTGGTTTGCATTTTTTTTGTCCGTCGACTATTTTTTGCACTTTTTTTATCTTAAGTTTAAAAGTTGCACAATTTTGGTCATTCTGTCAGTTAAGTATGATGTGTCAGTTAAATAATTTCATATGATATTTTCTTTTAATTTTTTGATGACATGGCAATAATATATCTTATAATTATATTATATGAATAAATAAAAATGTCACGTAAATGAATATTTACATTTTAACAAAAAAAATAAATACAAACAAAATTACACTATTACCCTCACCCTCTCAATCCATCTTCTTCCCCTTCTTTCTTTCTCTTTCTTTCTTTCTTTCCTATCCATGGATCGGTGGAACAACCGAACCCAGCAGAGCTAGGTCTCAACAAACCCAGCACAGCTGGGTCTCGAAGAAACCTAAATCTGCTGGGTCTTGATGAATCCAACATAGCTGGGTCTCAAAGAAACCCAGATCTACTAGGTTTCATCAAACCCCAGCTCTGCCAGGTTTCGTCAAACCCCAGCTCTGCCAGGTTTCGTCAAACCCCAGCTCTGCCAGGTTTGTCAAGACTCAGCTCTGTTGGGTTTGTCAAGACCCAGCCGCACTGGGTTTGTTGAGACCCAGCCCCGTTGGGTTCACCTAGACCTCATTGGGTTCGACACAGCCTGCTGGGTTCATTTTCGTTCTTCTTTAGAGTTGTTCTTTATAAATTTGGGAGCTAATTTACAATTTGATTACATTTTTGTTGGAATTTGATTGCATTTTTATTGAAATTTGATTAGAGTTTGATTGACATTGTTTATGGAGTGGTTAATTTAATTTGATGAGATTTACTGGGTTTGATGAATCCAACAAGTGGCTTCAATGAAACCCAATAGTTCGGTTTGACAATAGAGAATTCAAATTTTGCTGGGTGCATTCTAAGGTTCATAGACATTATCTTTGTTTATTGGTTCTTTGCAAGTAATGTGGGATCCATTTGAAGGGATTTGGCATGTTTGATTGGTTGGTGATTAGTTGGAATATGACATGGAATAATGTTTTATCCATATCAGTATCTTGTCATAAAAAAAAATATATAAAATACCACATGGAGGAAGAAATTGGGCAAAAACTTGGTTTTAGCCCTTCATCTTACCAAGTCTGAAGGTTTTAGCCCCTCACCTTGTACAATAACCCTTTTAACCCTTTACCTTATTGGATTTGTAGGTTTTAGTCCCTCACTTATTAAAATCGAAAAAAATAGCATTCACTTTATATTGACTATTGACTCTGTTAACTAAAAGTAGGTTTTTGTTTGTTAAAAGTAGGTTTTGATCAACTAACAGTCAACTACTAGTTAGTTAAAAGAATTAACAAAATATTATAAAGTTAGTTCTGTTAACTTTGTTAGCTGAAAGAAGGTTTTTGTCAGTTAACATTCAATTAACAGTCAGATAATAGAATTAACAATAAGTTAACAAAACTAACAAAATGTTACAAAGTAAAGGTTATTTTTTTTCAATTTTAATAGATAAGGGGCTAAAAGTGTCATACTATAAGATGAAGGGCTAAAACTTACAAATCTAGTAAGGTGAGGGGTTAAAAGTATCATAATATAAGGTGAAGGGCTAAAACTTTCAAATTTGGTAAGGTGAGAGGCTAAAACTAGGCTTTTGCCAAGAAACTGACGTAGGGACCAAAATTATACAAATTTTAAAGTTGAGGGATCAAAAAATATAAAAAATAATCAAAAGACCAAAAAATGTAAATCATTAAAGTTGAGGGACCAAAATTAACATTTAACCATATATATATATATATATATAAATATGGAAACATAGATCACAAGTTTACAGTGGATGGATGTGGACTGGACATCTTGGACTCAACAAAGTTTATACTTTATTTCAAATTGCCCTGTTAAATGGGCTTAGAAATTGAACTCAAGTCACCTGTCACGTATTGGGCTCATACCCAATATTTATTTTCCTTTTGCCTTCTGTTTTGGTCTGTGCTCACTACCTTCTCGACCTCCTCCGACGAACTAAGCTTCCTCCGCTATCCATCGCCGGTGACTAAGGAATGTACACAACTGGGTAAGATTCTTTTATAGTTTAGTACATGATATTCTACATTTGAGGCAGAACCATTTACGATGTATTTAGCAAATGTAAGATCTGTGAGGAGTTCAATTCCCAATCATGGAACCTTCCTCCTTACTCTCTTTCTAGAGATCATCCATGGCTTCCTTTAAAGGTTGCGAGAATTTTGCCTGCGTCACCATGCTCACTAAAAAATTAGATAGTTGTTCTTGAATTTGATTTTGATTTTGTATTGAATTGATTCAAGGAGTAGAAATTGATGAAGTTAAGGTAATTTATTGGATTTAGGGTAGTGTAAAATGTGAATTATATTTGCGCTGTTTATATGCCAATATGCATTGTTATTAGTATGTGTATGCATTTTGGAAATTGATTTAGGGGAAACCCCATTTTTCCCATTTCTTTCTCTAACTCTTTCTCATGTCATGTCCTAGGTTAGAAACTTCTATGTTAAATTAAAGCTATACATGGAAGAATGAACTGAGGATTTTCATGACTGTGCATCAGAGTACTAGAATGGCTGATTGATGGCTAAAAAATGCCCCATGGTTCATATTAATGCCTTAGGTTGCTTTTGATGAAGAAAACGGTATTAAGGTGTTTAAGAATACAAATAGATGAATAGAATAAATTGTGTTGCTAGGAAAATTGGAAAAAAAGGAAAATTGGAAAAAAGAAAGGTACTGCTCAAGACAGCTTTAGTAGAAGTCATGCTTATGAATGGGAGATAGTAATCATGAATGAAGATATGCTTTACTCATAAAGTGATTGTGTTTTATGCAAATGTTGCGATACACATGTTCTTGTTGTAATGACTATTATCATATGTTTTTAATTTCTTTTTTTTTAAATAGCACAAAAAATTGATCCTCTCCTAGCTTATAAATATTCCCTCTAATATTTGAAAGCAGCATAATATTCAACTAGTTGGATGGACAAGAACAAAGAATCTACTCCTAAACATTTATCTTGCTCCACTTGTTTCAATGCTCTCTGGTTTTATTATTGTATGCACTTTCTTTATGCGATTATCTACTTTTATTCAAAAAGAATAATTTGTAGTTTATTCTTTATTTTCAGTTCTTTGAATTTTGAAATGATAAATCATCACTCATCTTGCATTTAAATAAAAAAATTGCACCTTTTCCTCTTGTTTATTCATGTCTCTTTCAAACTCACTCATATGTTTATTAATCTTTTCTTCCTTTCTATTTATTTATGATCACATTCAAACACATTTAGTGTTTGAAAACTCATTACTTTGAAAGATTTGGTATGATGCAGTATATATATAATAAGAAAATAATAATGATAAAATAAACGAGAACTAGAAAATAAGGAGAGAAGAAAAGAAAACAGAAAGAAAAAAAAAAGCACATTTATTACTTTTTAATGTAAAATTAATATTTTTTATTTTAAAAAAATTATAAATTTATAAAATTAACCATCTACAAAAATTAGGGAAGCAAATCTTCTATTTTCTATCAAGTTGAGGTGTATTAATACACATCACTTATAACAAATCATAACAATCCATCCCTCCAATATAAATGGTTGAGATTTGTCTACTTTTTATTTTATTTTTTTAATATATAATTGTCTTTTTCATCAAAAAATAAAAAATAAAAAATCTCAATCATTCATAGTCATAAAATAAATTATTAAGATTTTATATTAGTGATATGTGTAAGTAGATCTAAACTCTGATTTTTTTACCATTTTTTCCCCTAGAAAGTATAGACAATTTAGGGCAAAATAGATATATCATATCTAAGTTATATAATAATAGGGGCCTAATCTGCTAAAACCCCTTTAACTTTTTATCTTTGAGGTCATTTACCCATTCAATGTACAATTTGTGTCATTTAACCCATAAACTTCACATTATTAATGTAATTGGTCTAAAATAGATGGATTTGCTTTATGTGAGTTACGTGGCCATCTTTACTCCATTACCCTATACTCGTTAGCACCATGTTGGCAAAAATATGGTTCACTTAGACTCATAAATGTGAGAAAAATCTCACCATAAGTAGGATCATTTTGGGCAAGATTTTTCTATTTTCATGGTCCAAGTGGATCATATTTATATGAGTATGGTGCTAACGAGGATAGGATAATGGAGTACAGACAACCACATGACTTATGTGATTGGATTTCATATATTTTAGGTCAAATCAATAATAACATGAAGTTTATGGGTTAAAACACATGAAATGTATGTTGAAGAGCTAATGCTCTTAAAGAAAACTAGTTAGAGAGGTTTTGTGGGGTTAATAAAATAATTAGTATTACTATCCAATAATAATTTAACACATCCTTAGAAGTGAGGTTATATACTAATTTATTTTCAATTGTCTTATATTTGTTGTATATAGTCCAACTTTATGCAAAAAAAAAAAAAAAAAAAAAGTCAAAATAATAGACAATTATATAGACTGAGGGATAGACCTGGCAATTCTTGACCCAACCTGTTAACTTGCCCAGGGCTTGCCCATTTAAAACAAGTTAGGATCAAGCATTCTTGACTCATGACCCATAATGATCTGATAAGAGAACTCGATGGGCCACGGGTCAACAATGGGTTGACCTGATGGGTCAACAATGGGTTGACCTGATGGGTCAATAAGCTAACATGATTGATCCATCTCTTTGAATTTAAAATTATTATCTATTTATATTGTTTTATAGTTTAATTTCATTTCTCACTCTAAAAGCTAAAGCTAAATCTCTAATTTCACTACTCGAGTTTCTTTTTTTTGAACCTTTGATCCTCTAATATTCCTTATCATTTCAGTTGTACTGTTTTGTATGTTTTTTGGTCTTTTTCCATGTATCCCACTATTACGAATTTATAAGGTGAGCCATCTATACAAATTAGATAAGAAATTATGCTACTTGATTAGGTAAGTAAATCTTCTATTGTCTCTTACTTTTTTTTTTTCCACATAAATGTGAAAATTGAATATGTAAGGTCTTCAAAACTACAAATTTATAACGTTAGCCATTTACACAAATTAGATAAGAAATTATACTAATTAGGTAACTAAATCTTCTATCATCTCTTACTCTTTTTTTTCCATAGAAATGTGAAAATTGGGCATGTGAGGTCTTCAAAAGTACAAATTTATAAGATTAGCCATCTACACAAATTAGATAAGAAATTATTCTAATTAGGTAAGTAAATATTCTATTATCTCTTACTCTTTTTTTTTTTTTTCCCCATAGAAATGTGAAATTTGAGTATGTGAGTTTCAATACAAAAGTTACATTCAATCTAAAACTAATTGACAATAGGTGGAACAATTTTTCTTGTATTTAACTCGCATGTCTTTTTAATACTTTTTAGTGTAAGATTTTCCCTAACATGCTTTCCTCACATGATCTTAGGTTATAGACTTAAAGGGCAGTCTAAGCTTTGATACCATATGAAATTTAGGCATATAAATTTCAACACAAGACTTGTATATTGTATCCATTTTAAAGATAATTGATAATATGTGAAGTTACCTTCTTTGTATTTAACTCACATATCTTTTTAATATTATTCCAATGTAGGATTTTCTGATTTAACAAAAAGTATAAAAAGGTTAAGGCAAAAATTGAAAAGTAAGTTCTAACTTTTATGGTATGATTTTTTAAAAAGCACAATTTAAACATATGATTAATACACCTTTTAGTTATTAAATTATATAAAAAATAAAAAGTTTATATTAGTTTTAGGGCAAATCATGCAAATTAACCCCTAAACGTATCAAGCAGTGGCAAATAAACCCCTTAACCCAAATCAGTGGCAAACAAACCCTTGAACTAGACGACAGTGGCAAAATAGCCCTTATTTGACTGGAACGTTATCTTTCCGTCCATGTTTGCTTACGGGGCATTTTTGAGACCCACTTTAAGTTTATGTTGCCTAAGTGGAGATGATGTGACAAGTTAAAAGCCCCATTTTTTTTTTTTACAGAAGTCCTATTATTTTCTAATAAGAGTGATTATATAATTTATATTATTAAATTAGTAAATATATTTAATATTATGAATTTTAAATAAATAAAATTAATTAATTTTTTAAAATGATATGTAAATTTATACTAAAAAATCATAAAAAAATTATTTTCATTATTGTATTGGTATTTAAAAAGTCTAATTAAATTAATAATATTATAAAAAAATAATATTGAAATTAAAGAAAAGGAGGAAAACTAGGAGAACATCACTGGAGCAACGACCGTGGGAGGCAGTAGTCTAGAGACTAGACCGTAGCCACCAACAACTACATGAAAGTATGAAACTTTTTTTTTTTTAGAAAAAAAGGAACAGATAATTTGTAATTTTGTTGATGTGTTTTCCTAAACAATTTTGTTTTTTTTTTTTCCCCCGGGTAATTGAGGTATATAAATATACAAAAAATAATAATTGAATTTGAAATTCTATTTACATTAATTTTATTCTCTACAAAAAAATAAATATTTTATGACAATAAAATTTAATATAAAAATTTAAATTTTAGACGTAATTATAACTTGTGATAGAAAAAATATAAATTTTTATAATTAACTTTTCGTCGCAAAATATCTATTTTATTGTAATGAATACACAATACAAGATTCTCAATTTGAGGAATGTCTTGATTTGCATTCCCTTTAATAATTAATGGCTTCATCTTCAAGCTCCCACAACCCATTAGACCGCGCCAGTAACTCATCTCCCCCGCACCTAACCAGCTCGACTATCCCAACCTCCTTGTCGAAATCCCCATGGCCACTCTCATCGTCAGATGCTTCCAGCAAAGGCCTTATAACATCCTCTGATCTTTCAACAAATTAGAAGAAGAGGAAGAACAACTAGCGGATTTGTAGTCTTTCACAGCGATAGCTGCCGTAACCTCGTTGGTTTCCATGGTTGTTAAACTTAGAAAAATACCCGATAAAGATTCCAATGAGAGCCCTTGCTGTAGAGAGGTGCTTAGGGATGATAAATCTTGGGTGGGTTCATCTTCTTCGGATTCAAGCATAGAGAGCATATGATCCAATGCAACAGGAAGTTTCTAAGGGCTAAAGGAGAGAAAGGAAAAAGAGAATGGGAAGATGAACATGGAAGAGTTTAGGACATTTTTGTCTTTTCAATTAATTTTTGTCTTTTGAACAAATTCGCAATGGGTCGGATTCAAATCGTTGCCCTGGAGTGAGGGGAATGCACTTTTACATGAGCTAATGCCACTGGGCCCAAAGGCCCAAGTGCAATTTTAGTTTATTTTTAGTTATTTTAATTTACTTAATTTACATAGTAAATAGGTATAAAATGCCATGTCACACTCAATAAAGGCCACATGGCCTCCAGCTCAACAATGGATCCCACTCAACCAGAAGACCGTTAGTTTTTGACGGATTAATGATGTCATCAGTCAGATAAGGGCTCTTTTGCCACTGTCGTCTAGTTTAAGGGGTTGTTTGTCACTAATTTAGGTTGAGGGGCTCCTTTGCCACTGCTTGACAAGTTTAAGGGGTTATTTGCATGATTTGCCTTAGTTTTAGTATCAAAACTACATGTATTAATTTAGCACAATGATTAATATACTTCATTTTAACATATTATATAACATACTCATTAAAAAATTATTATTATTTGGTTTCAAATTAAAAATAGAAAAACTTAAGCACAAAAAATGTGAAAACCTGCAACTCTTTTTGTTTCAAAGATAAAGGCACTTGTTTTCTTCTCTTCTACTTTGCTTCAACTTCCAATGGCATTTATTTATTCTTTAAGAGTGCTCAATTAAGGCTTGTAATTGTTGCACAAGATTTAGAAAATATCTTGCTCCATTTGGAATGTAAAACTTATCTTTCAAATTTTAATTCCAAACCATCTTCATAAGTTTCAAACCTTTTTTTAAATTTCTTAGTTATTATTGTTGAATGTCTACAAAGGTGTTAAACCTTTTTGCTTGATGTTAGAACTTTTTATTGAGTCCTATGAGTATAAGAAAAATAGTAAGCTTTAAAGTTCTGGAACTAAAAAAATGGTTTTAGAACCTTTTGCTTTGATGTGTGAATGTTAATATTGATAGCCTCAAAAGTTCTTGCTCTTAATTCTTAGTGTTAAAACTTTTCCTAAACACAAAGGCAATCCCAAAAATAGTGACTTAAAAAGTTCTAAACCCCTTTGCTTGGTTCCGCACCCGTTTGCACAAAAAATGCATTTTTGAAACCCTTTGATAAGGAAACTTAACCTCCTTTAGAAATTTTTTTTATTCAATGTTAAGCAAAATGAATAACCATATAAAAAATATTCAATAATTAAAAAAAAATTACTTATTTCTATAATAAGGAGAGATCTCTAATATTAACTTTCTAATGGTATTAAACATGTGAAATCAAATAATTAAATCCCAATTTTTAAAATTATGAAAATACTATAGTTATAATATCACATGACATTATAAATTTATAACATGATATGTTATTATATAATTAGTTTTTTTAACTTAGAAGTCAACTTGTAATATTATATGTATTTACTCATTTAATATCATATTATATTTATTTAGTACCATGTAAAATTATAAGTTTACAATCATATGTGACATTGCAACTATAGCATTGCCGTTAAGGTTAATCATTTCATATTTGTAATTGAGTTTTCTTCTTCAAAATTACATAACAAATTAGATGAAAAGTGTGCAACAAATAAATTTACATTTCCATTAAATTTTGACATATCAAAATTAAGGTCAACAATACTGGACCATTGTAGGTGCATTTTGGACTGAGAATCAAAGTCTTTGTTGCATGGAATACTCAAAACCTACAACAAAAACAAATAATTCATTTCTATTAGTAAAAGTCAAAACTTATCATAATATTTTAAGAATTTGATAATGAATTACGTTGATACCATAATTAAATGTCAAAATAAGAAAGTTAATAAAAAAACTAATTAATAGAACAAAAAATGCAACAAAAATCAAAGGTAGCCATTAAATTGCCTAGTGAAGATATTAAGAAAGAAATGAAAACCAACTTAACTAAGAGCTTCTCCATATTTTTTTTTCCTAAGGTTGGTATATATATATATATATATATATTTTATGGCCTTCAAAATGTTAATAGTTGTATTTCTATTAATTGTGTGCTCTTGATAAAATAAAGTTAATACCTTCAAGTTTTCAAAGCTTTAAATTTATGAAGTTAATCCATCTACGATTTGGGTAAAGAAATCCACAAATTAAGTAAGGAAAGCTTCTTTGATTCCTTTACTTTCCCTTTTTCACTTTTCAAATAATAGTAGAAAGTTTAGATCAAATGTATATATAATATCTAACTTAATATAATAACAAAATGAGCAATGATACAGCTATAATATCACGTGAAAATACACGATTACAATTAAAATATATTATTAAATAAATTGATATATACAATATCATTGGTGGATTCTTAATTGAAAATAGTCAATCATATAACTATATTTTATAATTGAAAGTTTACAATGTTATGTGACATTATAAATATATTATTTTTGTAAGAAAATTAAACATTAGAAACATTGAAATTGCAGTTTAAGATTGAAATTCTAAAATTTTAATTTGATTGAATATCTTAATTTATTTGGAGATTAGCCGTTTCTTTTTATAAAGCAACTGCAAACAAACAATAAAAGATTTCAATTATAAGAAATAGAAGTTAAATTATGCATGCAGTATCAGAAAGATTTTTGAGAATCACAAACAATTTTTGCTTTTGAAACTAGAATAAGCTGCATTTGGATTATTGCCTGTGTTGTGGTTATAGTTTGTCTTGTATTTTGCTATGGCAAAAACTATGCCAATGTTTGATAGTAGTATATTTTGAAGAAGTGTTATACATTCATAAATATAATTACTAAAAATATATAAAATATTAAATAAACATTAAATCTTAGTTTGCTACCATGTGACATTAATTTTCAAATTTAAAGTCTTTACATGCAACAAAATGTCATTGATAATCATTGGAATTAGCCTTTAATAATAATTGTCAGATAGCGTTTCTTTAACACTTTTATGTTACATCTTAAAGTTGTCAGTTAAGCAGTTCATCAGTTTGAATAGTTCTATCAATTTTGAATGGTTAAAATGGCATGCCAGTTTTAAGTAATCACTCAAGTTGTTATTGCTTTGGGATATCAATTAGATTAGTTCTAATTGGTTAGTTCGGTCTAACTTTCAAAATAATGAAATAGATTTTCAAATTAATTTAATTTAAAACTTATAAGACTTTAAATAAAATTTATAATTCATGACCTTAAATATTTATAACACATTAACATGATACAATGATCTACATGTAGCTGATCGAGTCATGCTAGTGGGAAGAGGAAGGTTTAAAATGGGAGAGATATTTCTTTTGAAAAGGAAAGATAGAAAACACTATAAAGTAAAAGATGGGCAACTTTTATTATTTGTAAGAGTTTTTTTTTTCTTTTTTGGTATGTTATTATTTCTAAGAGTTGAAACAAGATAATTATATATGACTTACCACCCACATTTTTATTCCACAGACATGGTTTACCCACCAATATGCATCTAAATTTTTCACCTATTATGGCACCTCCTTCTGCACTTTTGGAGTCTTGGTCATGGTGTCTTCAAATAATTGAGACTTGTTACAAACACACAAACCATCAAGGTTGCAAATACATTTTGGATTACCACAATCAGCATCTGTTTGGCATGGAATACGCAAATCTCTTGCTTCTGTTATTGCTTGGAGACCTACAACAAAGACAAACAATTCATTTCTATCAATAAAATTCAAGAATTATCATAATATTTTAAAATTTTGTTAATGAATTTCGTCAGTACCATAATTAAATGTTAAAAGAAGGAAGTCGATTAGAAACTTGTTAATAAAAATAAAGAGGGCAACAAAAATCAAATTCAATTGCTAGATTACCTAGTGAAAATATTAAGAAAGCGACCAAAACCAACTTGATTGAGAGTTTCTCCATTTTTTTTTTCTAGCGTTGGTAATGTTGTATTTCTATCAATTGTGTGCTAGTGAAAAATATGATTAATACCCTTTTGTCTTCAAAGCTTCAAATTTATAGAGATAGTCCTTATATGATATAGGTAAAAAAATCTAGAAATTATGTTAGGAGATCTGATAAGATTTTTTTTCATTTCCTTTTTCACTTGGCCAAAACACCTTATTTGCTTCTTAGACATTTTTCCTTTTCACGATCAATACCCTAAATTAATTTTTCTTCCCATCAATACTCTCCATAATTTAAAAACTGCAAAAAAAACCTCAAATTATGAACAAAGTCAGATGCAAATCGAAGGTTTGACTATTAATGTTTTATGCAAATAGCAAATTTGACCGTTAATTATTGGATTTTTTGTGAGTTTCAAATTATGAAAGGTGTTGACTGGGAGGAAAATTAATTTAGGGTGTTGACCATAGAAAGAAAAAATGTCTAAGGTGCAAATAGGAGTTTGGCTTTCACTTTTCAACTAATTATAGAAAGAAAGGCTAAACCCAATGTATATATATAATATCTAATTTCATATGGTAAGGACAATGATATATATGAGAATAATTTTTTCTATACCAACTTTTTTATGCAATTTTTATGTCATTAAATAAGTAAATATAGATAATGTCATAAGTCCTAATAAAGTAAAAAAAGACTAATCACTAAATAGCACATAAGGGTTGTATGAAAAATTATCTAACAAAATTATCTCTCAATCATTTTTCATTGTAATATCAAAATATTGATTTTGACAAAGTTATGAGAACTCATAATTAAGGTTTGAGGTTTGGGTATTAGTTTTTGATGTCAAAAGGGTGAGAAGACAGGAATTTTGGGGATTCAAGATTAAAGGATGTACATGGGTTTGTGTATTTCTTGTACCCAAGTTGATAAAATTTTTGGCTTATAAAAAAAAAAAAGAAAAAGAAAAAAGAGAGCACTCATGAATAGGAAAACTTTTTGTATCTAAGGATCATAATTAATTTTGTAACAAGTTAAGTAAAAAATCAATAAATAATGTTAGGAGATCTTCTAAGATTTTTTGGCTTGTCCTTTTTCACTTTTCAACTAATAATGGAAATAAATGCTAAATACAACGTGTATATGGTATCCAACTTCAAGGTAAACTACGTGAAGCTATAGGAATTTTTGAGAATCTACAACTTAGATAGTTTGACTTGATGAATGCAATAAGGAAGGGATGAGGTGTAAGCCTCACTGATTGGTTATTGGAGCGAAGGAGTGTATGAAACAAAGGGGTAGATCAAATGCAGTGTAGGAGCAATATTATATGTGGTGATATTCCAATACAAGAGGTGTTTATGAGTTTTCCTTAACTCTTTTCTCTGACTTGGTGTTTATGTGTTTCGAGTACCACTTTTACTTCAACTAATAAAAGTTTTCTACTTGATTGATGAAAAAATATTTCAATACATTAGGGATGTGGATTATGTCAAGAATCCTATTGTTATATAAGTTAGTGGACGAAGATTTGAATATATAATTTGTAAATGTTGGAGTACCTTTAAAGACTCAATTATAAGAATAAATATATTTTTTATTGTTAGATATATATATATATATATAGTATCTAATTTTATATTGCAAAGCTAATAATATGGGAGTAATTTTTTTTTTGAAAAACAAAAATTTGTTTATATAGAACATAAGGAGTACTCTAACCCATATACATCTATTAGACATGTCACATATTATTAAAGCAATCAATTTCATTTCCAACATAAAGAGAATTGAACGATTTTGCTTTTCTTAATCAACATTTTTGCTTTTCTTAATCAACATAAACCCTCCAATTATCCCTTTCTACATAAACCCTTCAAAATATATATATATATATATGGGGATAATTTTTTGGACAATTTTTTTGTTTAATTTTTTATACAATTTTTACATATTATTCCATAAATATATACATAAAATATTAAATGTTCTAGTAAAAAAAATCAATTAATAAATAACATATGAAGTTATATTAAAAATTGCTTAAAAAAAACCATAGATCACATGTTTACAGTAGATGGATGTGGGCTGGACATCTTGGACACAGCAAAGTTTATACTTTATGTTAAACTGCCATGTAAAATGGGCTTAGAAATTGAACTCAAATTCACCTTTCGCGTATTGGGCCTCTATCCAGTATTTGTTTTCCTTTTGCCTTATGCCCTGGTTTGTGCTCACTACCTTCTCGGCCTCCGAAGAAGAACTAAACTTCCTCCGCTATCCGCCGCCGGCGACTGAGGAATTTACACGACTGGGTAAGAATTCTTTTATAATTTAGTACATGATATTCTACATTTGGGGCAAAAGCATTTACGATGTATTTAGCAAATGTAAGATTTGTGTGGAGTTCAATTCCTCCTTACTCTCTTTCTAGAGATCATCCATGGCTTCCTCTAAAGGTTGCTTGAATTTTGCCTGCGTCGCCATGCTCACTGAACAATTAGATTTTTGTTCTTGAATTTGATTTTGATTTTGTATTGAATTGATTCAGGGAGCTGGAATTGATGAAGCTAAGCTAATTTATTGTATTTAGGGTAGTGTGAAATGTGAGTTATATTTTTGCTGTTTTTATGCAATTATGCATAGTCATTAGTATGTGTATGCATTTTGGAAACTGGATTAGGGAAAACCCCATTTTTCCCATTTTCTTTTCCCATTTTCTTTCTCTGTCTCTTTCTCATGTCCTAGGTTAGAAACTTCTATGTTAAAGCTATACATGGAGGAATGAACTTAGGATTCTCATGATTGTGCATCAGAGTACTATGAACGGCTGATTGATGGCTAAAAAATGCACCATAGTTCATATTAATGCGTTAGCTTGCTTTTGATGGAGAAAAGGGTATTAAGGTGTTTAAGAATACAAATAGATGGATAGAATAAATTGTGTTACTAGGCAAATTGGAAAAAAGAAAGGTACTGCTCAAGACAGCTTTGGTAGAAGTCATGCTTATGAATGTGAGATAGTAATCATGAATGAAGATATGCTTTACTCATAAAGTTATTATGTTTTGTGCAAATGTTGCAGTACACATTTTCTTGTTGTAGTGACTATTATCATATGTTTTTAATTTCTTTTTCTTAAACAGTAGAAAGAATTAATCCTCTCGCAGCTTATAAATTTTGGCCCTGATATTTGAAAGCAGCACAATATTCAGCTGGTTGGATGGCCAAGAACGAAGAATCTACTCCTAAACGCTTATCTTGCTCCACTTGTTTCAATGCTCTCTGGTTCTGCTATTGTATGCACTTCCTTTATGCCATTATCTAGTTTTATTCAAAAAGAATAGTCTGTAGTTTATTCTTTACTTTCAGTTCTTCAAAATTTGCAATGATATATCATCACTCATCTTGCTTGCAAATCAAAAAATTGCACCTTTTCCTCTTGTTTATTCATGTTTCTTTCAAACTCACTCATATGTTTATTCATCTTTTCTTCTTTTCTATTTATTTATGATCACATTCAAACACATTTAGTGTTTGAAAACTCACTACTTTACCATGCCACTGTTTTAACATGCGTTTTATTCAAATTAAATGAATCTTATCTAATGTTATAGAGAATCATTGGCATGGAGTTTTCTAATTAACATCTATTAAGGCTAGTTTAGTTCTATCACGATCTTGACAAAAATAGTTTTTGATATGTAAATGCATATGGGGTTCAAGGCATACTTAGATTTTGAATACAATTGCAGCGCCAGTTCATCAAATGCAGCAGTATTATCGGTTAGGAGTCCTTGATAATTGTTCAGGAAAATGGAGTGCTCTCTGGGACTGTTTATCGTTGAAGACTAAGCCCTCTTCTCAAGTCCAGGTTTGTCTTATAAATTGATGGATCAAATATTTTGCAGTCAGTTAGTTGATGTGCTTTTTTCTACAAGATGGGCCTTGCGTTGCATCTGAACTACATCTAGTGTTACTGTTCTGTAATGCACATAAAATTCATATGAATATGAAACAATCTTACTAGGTCATGGAGGAAAGAGCAATCTAAGGTGGGAATACCAATGAACGTAGTCAATTTGGGCACTCTAAAATGATGTTTCTGATTGTAATGCCAACTTGTTTAATTAGATTTTGCCAAAAACATAATATTATTTGTTGATACCCTGGATTTTTGCTCCCAGTTTCCTTGTTTCTATTTCGAAACGAATTTAATCATGTTGTGCTGAAAGTTTCACCTATTGAATGTAGGAAATTTTGGAAGCTCGAGAGAAAGAGAAACCCCACATTTGGACTTTCCGAACTCCAGAAGAGGCACAATCTCACTGGAAAGAGCTCTTCGGACATTTAGATGATATGGAATGACATTTAGGTGAATTGGAAATTTGGAATGACACATATAGCTTCTCCTGGTGCACCTGCCATTATTTTCATGTTTTACATTGTCTTAGTTCACTCGGAATAAAATAGAAAAACAGGAGATGGAAAACAATTCTTCTTCTTTTTTCCTTTTTTTTTTTTTTTTTTTTTTTTGAAAAAGTAAGAAACTTCTTTCAGAAATTTGAACTTTGATACCTTTAACAAAAAAAAAATGTGTTGTGCAATTTGTATTAGACAATTTATACTTTTGAAGAGGAGGCGAGTCCCTTAATATTGGTAACTTCTTGTGGTATAGACGGTAAAGCAAAAAACTCTTAACTTAGAACATACTATGACTGTGAGAGGCCATATATAATATATACTTAGCCGTGGAACAAAGCAATCTTGGGAAGGAAGTCAAGAAACCAGAGGAAAGATTGGTCTCATAGAAAATTATTTAACTAAGCCAACCTTGTGGAAGTGGTTTCTTACAATTAACGAAAACTTATAAAAATAAATTCGTCATTATAAATAAAATTAACATCAACATCTAATTTTCCTATGTGTAATTAACAACAAATGAAGAAAGTGGGTTAAACTCTCACGTCAACCTTAGCCTAATTGATAAATCTAGTAACTAGAAACCCTTGAATCCGTGATTTAACGTTGAATTTCTATCAATGACCATCGTGCTAAATGCCTTCATGATTTGTAATGATTGTCCCTACTAATAATTGATCTTCTTCCCAATATAATATACAGATAAAGTGATTTAAAGAATAAAAGTCTTTTATCAAATATAATACAAGGAAAGAGTAATTTAAAAAAAAAATAACTTTTATCTTGCAATCCAAGGTAAAAAAAAAAAAAGGGTAATAGCACTTGTATTTGGACGAGGTACTGTACTACTAAAGACAAGAAATTGGCTAGGAAGGACAGGTAGGAATGACAAGTTATGCTAAATCCTTCAAGCAAGTGAAATACTCCCTTGCAATCAACAGTGATGAAATCGGCTGCCGTGGAAGCAAGGCAAAACGACAAATTAGCACTAAAATTCAAAAATCGTCCTGCCTGCCTCCCTGCTTTCCACAGACTCACCCACTCTCAACCTCACAGCAACTCTCTTTTCAACTAAAACCAAAGCATCATTCCAGGTGATTGTTTTACTTTCCCTTAATTATCCCTTCTTGGGTTTTGAGAATTAATGTTCTTTTTTTGCTGATTCAAGGTTAAATGTTTATCCCAGCTGCAATGCATGATTCATTGTTTAATTTTTCCGATTTGATATCTGGGATCGCTTTATTATTGATTGAAGCTAAACCCAGTTCTTGTTTTACTTGACTCTATCTGGGTTTTGACATTTATATGAATTCTTCTCTCGTTCTTCTAGTTATATTATGCTATCTGTTCTCTGTTTTTCATTGCCCAGGACATGTTTTGTGCATGAGTTTCTACAAGTTTGACCCTTTTTTATTCTTCTCTATCTGGGGTTATGTTGTTCTAAACTCAATCCAGAAAGTGATGATTGCTGCGGATTTTGTGGTTTCTATATTTAGGCATAGGAGATGAGATCATCTTCTATTTCTTTTTTGTCTTCCATGTCAACTGACATGAATGCAACTGAATGTGCTGCTGCTTAGGTTATCAGGGTTTATTTTAAAGCTTGGATTTAGTTGTCTTTGTTTCTCTCTGCATCTGTATTCTAAGTATTATATTGATCAGTTTGCACTCTTTGGTGGTAATTGTCAAATTGATACCCTTACATCAGAAGAAAAGCTTTTTGATCATGAATTTTATGGTTTCAGTATTGAATTTGGGGTTATAGCTGTTTATCTCATTCTGATTGGCAAGATATTGTCAGATATACATGGGATGTCTATATTTAGCAGTTAGCAGCAACAGCTTTTCTGCAGACCATTTCTGCTAGTTGTTATAAATGAAAATGAATCAAACTTTCATCCCATACAGACCACAGAGCTGTTTATGCTTTCTTTTCTCTTTAGGTTACTGATCATCATATGTCTGAGCTCTCTCATTTATATATATGTTTTGCTAGGCTGTGGGGATTTGGAGGTGGTGAGCAATGAGTTCTTGCAAGGTTTCTTGGATTGTATTTTTTCTATGGCTATTCATCGGCTTGTCTCTTCCCTATCATTGTTTTGCCATTGAAGCTGGTGCCAACCCAGCAGCCCAGCTCTTTGTAGATGCTTCTACAGGATCATCACGACCAATACCTGATACATTGTTTGGAATATTCTTTGAGGTTAGGTTTTTTTGGATTCAAAGTTTTCATCAAGTTTGAATTCTTTTAAGTTGCTTGAGAAATTTACTGAATCACAGAGTTTGAAGTGCATGCATCTGCCATTAATAAAAAAGTGCATGGATCTATGCACGGGGAATATTGACATACAGACTTTCATATTTAGATTTGTAGATTCCAAAAGATCCATCTCGATTGCAGTATATTTATTTTTTAACAAAAATAACTTGGGCTTATGTTGATTAATTGGATGACTTACATGTCTTTAATGCAAAGGTTTCCTTATTAAAATGATGGAACAGAAGAAATAATTAAAAGTTTTAGTTATGTTTATCTGCATTTTTTATCCCTAAGAACGCTTTATCAAGTATTAATAGTTTGCATACTTTGGGCATGTCATAACCTTTTTTAATTGTTCCTGCAGGAGATCAACCATGCTGGCGCTGGTGGATTGTGGGCAGAGCTTGTAAGCAATAGAGGTTGATCCAAATTTCCCTTTATATCTGGAAATAAAGAAAAGATACAAAAAGAAAGAGATATATTTAATATTTTTCTTTAAAGCTGTACGGTCATTCATTTTCTATCCCACTGTTTGCATTGGTGTTGTTTAAAAAAACAATTATAATTAGGTTTGCCTAGGCTGAGAATTCTTATAAATCCTTTTTGTTTCGGAAATGAGTTAACAAATTTCATTAAGAACCAACTGAGAAAGTTCAAACCCTGAGTATCCCAAAAAAACTATGTTCAACTGCAGATAATCAAGACAAAACATACATGCATTTCTAACGCACATGGTAGGAGTTTGGCTGAGATCAGTACTGCTGATATTAAACTTTGTTAAGAAATGTCTTATTTTTTTATCTTTAACACCTGATGGAAAGATTTCAAAACTTCATGCTGACATCTTCAGAATCTCTACTTGCAATAAGCTGCTGTGATTTTTTTTTTTTTTTAAATGAGAAATTAAGGTATCTGTTGTGCATTTCTAGCAAGATAGATTCCATATACAGTTTTTGTGAAGGCTATTTTGACAATGGCATCGCTTGATACTATTCCCAGACGCTCTGTAAGGCCGCTCAGTCTCCTATATTGATTAACACTTCTACTGAATTCAGTTCCACACCCTTTTTTGATACTTCATATGAAGTTTTATAAACCATTTTTGAACTATAAACAAGTGTTCTATGTTTTCATCCTTCCTTTCACATATACCAAAATGAAGTTTGCATAACATTTTTTCCCCTTTTTCTTTCAGGTTTTGAAGCTGGGGGCCCTAATGTTCCCTCAAACATAAATCCTTGGGCCATAATTGGGAACGAGACCTCCTTAATTGTGTCCACAGATCGCTCATCATGTTTTGATCGAAATAAAGTCGCTCTTCGAATGGAAGTGCTCTGTGATAGCCAAGACACTAATATCTGTCCATCTGAGGGAGTTGGTATTTATAATCCAGGATTCTGGGGCATGGTAAGAACTTGGACCTCAAATCAATTAAAAAAATTACTATTTTATACTTCCCGTGTTACATCTCTCTCTCTGCCATTTTTGGATAAAGAATCAAAATGAAAAAATGTAAATGGAATTAGCTGTTTCTGCCAAATACTAAGATGTTAGGATTGTATTTGCAGTTTGTCAGTTACATTCGTCATGTGTATGGATGGAATCTGCTGCTTAACTGTTTTTGAGATGTGCTGCTTGAAATGTCATTATTCACTGTGATTGATATCCCTCAATGTTGTATGTCTTCTTTCAGAATATTGAACAAGGGAAGAGCTACAAAGTTGTATTTTACGTCCGCTCAACAGATGCAATTAATATTGATGTATCACTAACAGGCTCAAATGGGTTGCAGTTGCTGGCTTCTGCTAACATAGTGTAAGGAATGTTTGAGTATTTTTATATTCTGCAACAGGAAGGTTTACTTGAATAAAGATTTTCCTTTTTCAGATGGTTTATAGTTCATTTCTTTACACCCTTGCAGGGCTCCTGCTTCTGATGTTTCAGATTGGACTAGGATGGAGGTTCTGTTGGAAGCCAAGGGAACAAATCACAATTCAAGGCTGCAACTAACAACAACTCAAAAGGGTGTGATATGGTTTGATCAAGTTTCAGCCATGCCCATGGACACATACAAGGTTTGTACTCCTAATTGGGACCTGAGTATTTATGTTTCTATTTAGTTCAGCCAATCACATCTCCTGATGGTCAAAAGGCCTGATTTATTTTGACATCTAGGTTCCAGGAATAACTTTTCACATTTCATTTGGTTCTCTCCATGTGCCTATGTTTTATTTGTATTCTTTTTTTCATGATGGTAAGAGGAAGTCAATATAATAAAAGATTAATAGTGGGCAGGCTGAAAAATTGCTAGAATTTGTAAGGGAAATACAGAAGGAATATGTTTATGTTGATATGAAGGGTAAAAGTTGTGCCAGAACAAAAATAAACTTTGTGGAAGGTCAAGATAAAATGCTTTAGAACAGAAGCCTACTAAATCTCAAACTTGAACTTTTAGTTTGACTTGAGTCATATTAGAAGTGATTCACAATAAGGTTTTTCCATAAACAATTCTTGTTTAGCTCTAGTATACATAATTACATATTCCACTATTGTCTTGATTTTTCCTATAACCTTAACTTGGTTCAGGGACATGGTTTTAGAAATGAGCTCTTTCAAATGCTAGCAGATATAAAACCCCGATTTATCAGATTTCCAGGTATGGTATGCATGATATTATATTTTAGCAATTGGCTAGGACTATCCTATATTGATAGTTTAAATCTAGGATGGCTGATAAGAAAAATGCATGCTCTGGTCAATCTGAGAAACTTCACTCTGTAACTTGACTCTAACAATTAAAATGATGTAGGCACTAGGCCGGTCGGCCCGCTAGAATACACACTGATGAGCATACAACATATCAAGGTGTCAATATAAGAGAATCTAACATGAATAAAAATACCAAAGAATGATTAATAACTATAAGATGATAACCAGGACACTGACTGTAAAATATTTAAGTCAAAAAGTTATCATCACAAATCTGATAAATAAAACCCTACTTGAGGACACGTAAATATTTCAACATAATAACTACCTATAAAATAATTTTATTTTACTGCTAAAAAAAAAAACACTCTTTAGCATCACGGTTTTGTTGAATTTTCTAAAGAATTAACCTATCTAATGAATTGTCTTTTATTCTTTTGGTATTAGGTGGATGCTTTGTTGAGGGTGAATGGTTAAGAAATGCATTCCGCTGGAAAGAAACAATTGGACCCTGGGAGGAGAGACCTGGGCATTTTGGTGATGTTTGGATGTACTGGACTGATGATGGATTTGGTCATTTTGAGTTTCTTCAAGTGGGCATCTTATCCTTTCTTTTGGAGTTCTTCAAAACTAGAAGGCTTTCATTATGTTCCTAGTAAAATACAAATTCTGAATTTATTGACTGCAGTTAGCAGAGGACCTGAATGCGTTGCCAGTATGGGTGTTCAACAATGGTACTTAGCACATGCATTGCTTCTATTCCTTCATCTTCTTATGAATATTTATTTCAGAATCTGCTATCCGTTTATTTTTCACTTGTTGTTTTGCTTTATCAAATTTGACAGGAATCGGCCATCAAGATCAAGTTGATACTGCTAGTGTCCTACCTTTCGTGCAGGTATATCTACAGTTTCTTGCTTCCATTTACCATGGGAAATGGTAGAAAGGACTATCTGATTTTCAAAACGTGAATAATGCAACTAAAGCCAATTCAATCCTGTATTACCATCTTTTGCATATAGAATAACAAAAAGGAAAATTTAATCCCATTTTTTTATTCACTTCTAAAAGATACTGTACTTAAGCTGAACTGAAAAAGCTAAACTGCAAAGGATGAGAACCAACCCTCATCCTGACAGGTTATGAAATAACGTCTTTATAGCTTGTTGATGAGGTGAAGTAGGACATTGTGTGTAGATTGAAGGGTTAGTTAAAATCCACTGGATCCAGAAGAATTCAACTGTTTATGGATTTCTATGGTACTTGTTATCAAATTATATATATGTAGAATCCTGTATGACCTTCTTTACTAGCAAAAAAGAAAAGTCTAGCTCTTTGACTAGAAAAGGTGAAATGTTAGCCGGAAGTTGAATTTTATATATACATGTATGGAAATGGACATATTTAATTTGTCGTCTATTACTGTGGGAAAAAGATTTTAATATATATGATGTTCCCTTTTTTCTAACCTATCATGCATATAAATATGTATATGCTGATAAGGTTTCACACTTCTGTTTTCCCACTTTATTCCTTTTATTAACCAACATGCTCTCTGTAGTTCTTCATGGAAAAATGGTAGGGTTTTTAATTCTTGTATATCTGAAACATGGCTACATGGTGACTGACCTTTCCTAAAATATCTTGTTGAGTTCACAGCTCCCAAATTTTAGCATTGTAGTACTGTCTCACTTTCCTAAAATATTTCTCTTGATTTCAGGAAGCCCTTGATGGCATTGAGTTTGCCAGAGGCGATCCTAGTTCTAAATGGGGCTCTGTTCGAGCTGAAATGGGACATCCAGAACCATTTAATTTGAAATATGTTGCTGTTGGGAATGAGGATTGTGGGAAAAAGAATTACCGAGGTATGCATGTCTATCTAATCAATATCTTTTATATGCATACATGCATTTTTCTATTTTCATGTGCACGTATGTATCTGACAGAGGGAGTAAGCTTAAGTGAAACTTGTTTGCTCTTTTTCTTTCTCATGCCCATGTTGATTTCACAATGTTGAAAATGTTTGTGGAGAATAAAGACTTTGCCTGGATTAGTCTACATGAGTGTCAGACCTGAGTGGGTATGATAACCTGGACTTCGAGATCTGATATTCCAAATTGTCAGGTGAAGGAATGCTACAATACTCAAGGATTCTAGATTAACTTTACATTTCCTGGTTCTGATTTGTTAGCTAGGTGGAGACACAAGGCAGCCTCTAACTAGAATAGATGAGTCTGAACATTCTTGCCATCTGTAGGCTGTATTACTAGAATTATGAGGAGTTTTTAAGTGATGGGTCTGAACATTCTTACTATCTGTTAGGCTGCATTTCTAAAAGTATGAGGAGCTTGTCAAATTATCAAATGATCATGTACACATTATTTACTCAGACGTTGTTTTGTGATTGTTGACTTTTCAGAGTCTGTCTTTTATGTTACATTTAATTGACAGGAAACTACCTCAAGTTCTATGATGCTATAAAGCGTACCTATCCAGACATTCAAATCATTTCAAACTGTGATGGATCTTCTCGCTTATTGGATCACCCAGCTGATTTCTATGATTTTCATGTAAAGTTTTTACACACTGTTTTCATCATTAAGAAAGAAACTTTTAGGTTTCTTTTTCTTCTTTTTTCTCCCTTTGGTTTTTTCTGCTTCTGCTACAATTCTGATAGGTTGAGTGATTGCTCCTGCAGAATGATTATTTTTGGTCATTCCAGCAGAATGATGACCTTTTCTTATTCTCTGATTTCTTAAATAGGTTTATACATCTGCCAGCAACTTGTTCTCCATGGCTCATCAATTTGATCGTACATCACGAATTGGACCAAAGGTACCTTTGACTAGGTTATGTGCTTTTATGACCTCTAAATTTGGTTATTACTGTCTAACTGATCCCTATAATTCAAAATTTTCAGGCTTTTGTTAGTGAATATGCTGTGACTGGAAAAGATGCTGGCACAGGAAGTCTTTACGCAGCACTTGCTGAGGCTGCATTCCTTATTGGGCTGGAAAAGAACAGGTATTTACTTTTAATAGTTTTATTAGAACTTGCATTTGTGCATGTCAATGTGAATGCTTGCTCGTCTTCGGAGCAAAAATTGTTGAAAAATGATAACTAGATAGATGGTCTGGCACTTCTGGCCTAACACCTTTTAGAATGAGTGTCCACAAAAATAATTTCAATAAGATGAAACTTCTCTCCAATGTAGAAGATGCTTTAGCATCATTTTTGCATTTTATCCTTGGTTCAGGCTTACTGAAAGATCTATTTTCTTCACTGCAGTGATATTGTTCAGATGGCAAGCTATGCACCACTCTTTGTGCATGCCAATGACAGGAGGTATTATTATCATTCTTTAAAACTTGAAATTCGCCATGTTCATGCATTCTTATCCATCTGATGATTCTGATATTAGAGAGCTTTCTGTTGTTAAGGTGGAACCCAGATGCAATTGTCTTCAACTCCTCACATGCATATGGAACTCCTAGCTATTGGGTGCAACGTTTCTTTGCAGAGTCCAGTGGAGCAACTCTGCTAAATTCAACACTCAAAACCAATTCCTCCAAGTCACTAATTGCTTCTGCAATTACATGGCAATCAGAGGATAGCGAAACTTACTTAAGAATAAAGGTTTGTCACACTCACATCAGTATAACAACACTCTTTCTTGGAAACGTATTTGCAGTTCTTGTAGCTTATGTCTCAGTTTCATGTAAATACCATTTGCAGTTTGTAAACCTCGGGAACAGTTCTGTGTATCTTAGCATTATTGTGAATGGGTTGGATTCAAACTCAAAGCTGATAGGATCAACAAAGACTGTACTCACTTCTACTAATCTGATGGATGAAAATTCCTTCATGCAGCCAGGGAAGGTAACAGATTCACCATATTTTCTCATTTCTACCTTCTTCAGAAACCATCCATGCATGACCTTGCACGCATGTACCAGCAGTTGCTGGTTCTTTCATCCTTTCCAAGTTACTCTCCATGCTAGTTAACTTGATCATGAATTTATGCAGGTGGCGCCAAACCAAACTGATCTCCTTATAGGAGCTCTCAACAAGATAAATGTTGTAGTCCAACCATTTTCTTTGACTTCATTTGATTTGTTGAAGGAATCTGTTAAGCTTAGAATGAAGGAAGCTGACACCTCCTCCAAATCTTCTATTTGAAAGAAATTAGCATAATCACTGCATAATAATGAAATAAGTCCTTTACATAGTTTGTTTGCATATGTTAATGTTATTCCATTCTCTATTCTGATGATGTAAATATAAACCCTATCAATAAACCAAAGAAAATACAAGTTGGATATTATATTTAGCTCATGCTATGTGATGCCTTATCCTAAGCCGTTAGAACATATGAATACTAATAATTCGAGCTTAAACCCTCACTTTATACCAGGGTAATGCAATGAAAAAGTGGAAATGATATTCATCAATAAATTAATAATGTAACAATATAATGTGTTAGTAGTTTATATTGAATTTTTTATTTTATTTTTAAAAAAAATAAAGGCATTTTGAGATTAAAACAAATCAAAATGTCTAATCCAATTATGAGATTAAAAAATATCATAATATCTAATTTTAATCATAAGATGTTACATTATATCATATTCATCTTGTAGTTGAGATTTAACCAGTATTATTAAGGTAAAAAGCAAGGTGAAGTGATGGGCTAAAAAATGTTAAAGCGATGAAACGAGAAGTAAAGCGATTGGTTTTTTGAAGTGAAGTGAGTAACATTTTGAAATGATCAATTATTAAACAAAATAAAACTAATTAGAATAGAAACTTAAGAGTATTAT